TTACCACAGACCTCCTTGTGAACAAAGAAAGGATAGGTAATTAAGCACAAAAGAAAATGTATCATTCCTGTTCAGTCAGAGATGCATCTAATTCGGGCCTTTCCAACTTTTAAGAGAGGAAAAAATGCACATCTTCCATCTTTTGGGAACTGAATGCATAGTAATTGTGCATTGGAGTTATACTGCTATCTTTCTACTGGTATTTAAGAGGGATTGTTTCTTATCCAGAATTATTTTGTGTCCTCTAAAATTTACATTTCTGATTTGTATTTTCTAAAGACATGATTTCTATCTGCTAAATACTTTTTAACGTAATGGAGACACTTTATATGTGATTAGAAGTAAAAGTGAAATATTCACCTTTGTGATGAAGAAACAGAACAGATTATTTATTGGGTCTGAACTTATTAACTTACTTATCAAGTAAGTAGTGATATAGAGACACATATTTTATGAAACCTCCTTCCTCAATGAGTGGTGACTGGGGCAAGCAGGTGGTCTACTGCAGTGAAAACTTGTATGGCAAGAAAAAACTCTGGGATTCCCACTGAGGAGCTACTGCAGCACATACAAAAGCTATGCAGAACTGCAGAACAGTACTATTTTAGCAAAGATAATGATTTGAGCTCAGAGATATATGTGATAATGATGATTCTCCCACAGTACATCTCATGACACTAAATTCTAAATTGTATCTATTTTGGCATAAAAATGTAGGCCCCATACATGCAGCTGTTGTACTTCCAGCAGAGGTCCTTTTCTCATTTCACAAACTAAGAATGTCGCCTTTGGCACGGATGGCAACAGTCCCACCTCCTTGACAACACCTGCTTGACAGCATACCCTGTCCACACTTAGAAGAGCTACACAACATAAGGGTGTCCACCCTTCAATTCTGGAGGTTTAGCAATTTTTTCCAGGTTTCACCCTACATGCAGAGACATTGCAAGTACAGGTTTTAAAGGACTAAAGTAGGATAGCCTTATAATCCACTGACTATATTTTATTCAGCAGAACAATTCCTAATTCCATTCAAACTACTTCTCAAAGAGGCAAAAGGAGGAGATGTAAAAGCAGGTGAACTAAGAAGATATTAGACCTTGAATTAAACTAGTGGCCGTGTAAGAGGTAGGCCATGGGAAAAAAAAAAACAAACAACTTTGACCATCAGTTTATTTTTTGAGTTCTCTTTCAGGGTTAGGAATAATCTTATATTATAAAAGGAATATGAATTTTTCACAATAAAATTTTTTCACAAGAAATTGTAAATTAGTATGAGCAGCACTTTTAAAATACACATATTTCGAAAATGCTTAAAATTTGAAGTTTCATTTATCATTGAAAGCACTTTTTGGAAACTTTAAACCATGTACTGATATGCATATGTGGATGTTAAATAATTTTTTCTTTTTTTTTTTAAATTTCTTTAAAGCATTTTTTTCTCTTTGTAGATACATATAAAGATAAGATCCAAACCATGATTCAACATATGATTTCATCCTAGCTAGATGCCAAATAATATGCTAAATACTGAGGCAAAAACACCATGAGAACACCATTGCAAGTCCAGTTCTTCAAAGATTCATAAGGCTAAGCATTACTAAAAATCTGAAAGAAACTTACTGTAGATACCAAACCCGATAGGAACAGCACTGTTTGAATTCTGGCTACAGAAACCTCTGAGGGCCAGTACAGTGACTGAAGGAAATCTTTACAAGACAACTAAAAATAGCTGAAACATTTTGATACATTTAATATTTCATGTCGAATTTTCAGTGATTCAAATATTATTTAATTTCATTTAAAGAAGGCACTGTAGTGTTTATTTACAATACATAAGGTAAATACATAATCATTCTTGTTTCTATAGGAACTACTTTTTCAGAGTTAATGACAAAGATCCTCTTTTCCCTTCCTTTTTCAGACCTTATGGCAAAATAGAAGTACAACACCCTTTCAAAGTCCCTTTCCAATAAAGAGCTAATGGTTACTTCTGAAAATGCTTTTAGATTGCATTATGCACATACCTCCTGAGAGGAAAAATCAAGTCTCATCAGCTTCGATTTTTATATGGAGCCCTGACTGAATGGCTAGCAGTACGGAAACATTTGGTTTCTTGCTCTGAAATGTTGTTTCATCTCTTCTGAAAGACAAATACCTACTAGTGAAAGGAAATGGTAGGCTTCTCAAGCTGCACTAAAGTTGGGCATTATACTGCAAAAGTATGTTTTATGATTCACAAAATATGCAAATTTCAAAGTTCAAAATACTTTGAACTGGTCATCACAACTGGGATTTAACTGAAGAGACACAGGAGTGTTGTTAAAGCTTTCAATTGCTCCATTGTTTAATGAAGGTCCATTTGGTTATCCCTTCTGCTTAAGTTTCAGTCTTTAATTTTTTCCAGATTTCACCTGTAGCATCTCCTTTCTTCAAGAACAACTCCACGGGCCCCAGTGATAACCTTAGCATTTTCCTGTTCCTATTTTTAGTTTGTAGCAAATCAGTCTTTATGTACAGGTATCCTGCTTTGCTTCCACTTAAGAGTAGCATGCTAAAGGTGGCAGTATTCAGAACAGAACCATGTATTGTTGACAGTACACTTCTTAGAGTAGAGGTACTACTTTATCTTGCTGACTATATACATTCAGAAAAATTCCACTGAACTGGCAAACTTAAAAAATGTCTATATGCAATATAAATTTCCATGAATATCAGTGCAATTTCCTCAGAATAGTTGTGTTAATTAACATCTTTGGGTATTCAATTTGAGACCAGTTCAAGGAACTTTGCAATATGTTGTCAGTCCTTTATAAATACAGGTTAATTCAAATAAGTCAGTGAGTTAATTGTTTTTGAATCCAGATAACAGGTTGTTTATTTTATGAAAAATAAAAGCAGGTTCCATTTTACTGTGTTCTCCCAACTCTCAATTGTTTCATTATGGATCATTCCTTCTTATTGTTGCTCGCTATAATGTAGTATAAATCAAAGTTCTCCTGTGAGGATGTTTAGCATGATTCTGGATTAACAGTGACAGTACTGTTTTTTTTATTGATGAGTGCATTATGTATATTATAGCATGATCAGATGTTGAAGCAACATCGAGATACTATTCTTTAGCTTCATATTTATCAATGGCTAAAGGTAACTAGTTGGCCTTTGGTTTATCTCCCTATTTGGGTGGCTCATGCCACCGAAGGAGCCAAGAGGAAAAGGAAGTCTTGGTAAGACTTCCTTTTGGAATTAACCCTGAAGCTGGCTAAAGAAGGTAAATGGAATAGCTTCTACTGTAAAGACAACAATTTTCTTATCTCTGAAGTATGGCTAGCTACCAGGGCTAGTGCTTGGGGATGCTTCTTGAAAAAAAAACAAAACAACCAAATAAACAAATAAAAACCCCAAACACATAACTTTTTACATTGGTGGTAAAAGAATAAAGGACTATTTGTGCTAATTTCCTTTATTCTGAGTCTTTCACCATTCCATGTCTGGGTTACATATGGTTTCATTTACCTCACACCCTCTTTGTTAGCAAAAATCTGTGAAAACTGTGTATGTGCACATACTCGTAGATTTATGAAAGTGAAGGGATAATACAAAACGTTGTACAACTCATAGTTACTATTTGATTCTTTGTGACTTTCATGTCACTGCTCCTACCGGTAAGTAAAATTCCTTAACTATATCAATTTTTCATCCGTTTTAGAACATGTAGCTTTCTGAGGATTGCAGCCTACAGACAGCTTTCTACAGACAGGGATATGATAGGGATAGGACTTGCCTCCAGAACCCCCCGCCCAAAAAACCCAAAAACAAAAAAAAAACCCCCCCCCCCCCCCCCGCTATAATTCTCAGAATCATTTTAGAGATCTGATATTGCTGCTCCTGAATTGCTCGATGTAAACCTGACACTGTGCGTCGTCCACTAAAAAATGCGTTAAATCCAACTATTTCAAAGAGTACAAAGAAAGCAGAGTGAGGTACAACTCCAAACCCCTAGCAGCACCAACTTCCGCAAGTGCAGGGAGGAACGGGGTCAGCAACAACTCTTCCATCAGCAAACGCAAGCCAAGCAAGCGACGAGGAAGCTGGAGACGCCCTCACACCACCGATGCGGGCAGCGTCCTCTCTGCAGCACGGTTCTGGGGAAACCTTAGTTGCGGCCGCTTGCAGAACACAATGCCGACGGCGACGGTCATGGATCCGCAGCTGCACCCCGTCCTGTCGAGCCCGTGCCTGTCGCCGCACCGCGCCAGACTCCATCCAGCCAGCCTTCGCCCGCGGGGCCTCCCCGAGGCGCCAGCGCCGCTCGCCCCGCCACAGAGTGCCCTCCTGTCGATCGCCGCCTCTCCTTGGAGCGTGCCCGGAGCGGCCCCGTCGGGCGTGCAGCGGGACGGTCCCGGTGCGAGCCGCGGGGTCCCGCCGGCCGCGAACCCGCGCCCCCTCACCGCGCCGCCTTCGAAATGGCTGCCCGGCAGCGCGAGTCTCCCTCCTCCGCACTCCCCGCCGCTCCCGGGGGAGACACACCCCCGAACCGCGGCACGCCGCGGAGCCGGGGCGCCCCGACCTCCGCGCCGCGGAGCCGCCCTGCTCTCCCCGGAACGCTGCGAGGCGGGAGCAAGGGTGGAAGAGGGGGCATCAACCGCACCGCCGCCCGTGTCGGGGAGGCGGGGGCACCGATTCTTGCGGGGCTGTAGGGGCGCCGCACGCGCTCCCTCCTCACGGCGGGGAGGGTTAATAAAGGCCGGCGGCTGTCTGCCCACGGCGCGGCCGCAGCCGGAGGCGCCTCTCCGCGGCACAGCAGTCACTGGGCTAGGGGTGGCTCGCTCGCCTGCCCGCCCGCCACTCCGCGAACCGCTCTGCCTCCCCAAAGTGCCGCCGCTGCCTCTGCGGAACTCGCCGGCGTGTGAGCCGCCGCGCGGAAGGAGCCGCTCCGCCTCTAACAGAGACGCGCCCCCTCCTCCCCTCCCCGCCGCCCGCCAGCCCTCACCTCGAGCTGGCGCTACCTCCCCGCTCTGCCGCCGGCGCCTCGCCCGTTCGCCGCTGCGACCCGTTGCTTGTCCCCCTGGTGCCTGGCCCCGCCGAGGGGCAGGTGGCCAGCCCAGCCCTCTTCCCCGCTGCCCTGCTGCGGCTGCTGCGTCTCTCGTCCCCCGCTGCAAGGAAGTCGAAGAGACGATTGCCAAGCGGGAGGAGAGGACAGAAGAGGAGTGGAGCCGCAGGCGGCTCGGACAGTGCGCTGCGTCTGAGTCTCCGGGGATGGACTGGGCTTCGTCCTGCGCCTCAGCTTGCCCGCGGAGAGGAGGGCGGTGATCGTCCGCCCAGCCCGCCAGGGAGGAGAGGCACCCCGGTTAAATGTCACGGCTCCCCGTCCGCTCCCCGCCGCCACCCCGCGCATCGCTCACCTCGGGAGGGGGCTGTGAAGGTGGCGGCAGAGGCAGCCTCGGCTGCGGCGCGCCCCGCCGCCGCTCGCCGTGAGGAAGCGCCCCGGCAGCCGCCAGGTAAGCGACGGGAGCCCTGCCTGTACCGTCGGGGGCGGCCGCGGGGAGCCCGCCCGTGAGGGCAGAACAAGTTTCGTGGGGGGGCATCTGGAGGCGAAGAGGATCCCCGCGTCGTAGGGGTCTGTGCCTCCCGATGCGGGGGCTGTGAGGGGCGAGAGGCGGCGGGACGCGGCGCAGCAGAGCTCCGCATCGCCGCCCGCCCCGGCTGGCCTCGTCCCCGGGCCCCCGAGGGCTCTTGGAGGAGCGGCGGACAGCGCTGCCTGCCCGGCAGCGGAGGGTGGTGAAGAGGGGCTGTCGGGCTGCCCCCGTGGCGGGTTGGGGGAACGGGATGCCGTTCCCAGCATCACAGCTTCCCTGGGGAAGAGCTTTCCCCGCCAGGCGGGGAACCGTGCGATGGGAGCAGGAGTCCTCCGGGGGCTCCGAGAGACGTGACACAAACACAATAGTCCTTTGTCACCAGCGAAGAGATGCTTCCCCACCTGTGTCCGCTGCTGTGGTAGATGTGCTCGCTGATGTGCACACACTCCAGTACGTGCATCAGTAAAGTGGGTCTAGGGGGGTGATGATAATGCTGCACGGTGAGGGCACTGTTTTATCTTCTGCACAGCAAACCCAGAATAGCACCCCCCACCCCCCCCTTTTAGGGAGCAGCTCGAAGTACATGCAGGTGCTTCTGAACATACCTGGAAGAAAAATAACGGCAAGAATATCATCTACTTATTCATCATTTGTCCAGTCTCTTGAGTCTAAAATATAAGGTTCTGCAAGTCCTATTCTATAGTTGCTGGAGTAAACAGCAATGCTTCGAATGTTCTTAAGCATTTTCCTATCTAGCTTTCCTTGCCAAGCAAAGAACTGCAGTGTGTTTTTATTACCTGCTGCTGTTTTAAAATACTGTTCTTTCGAAAGACTTTCTCATTTAAAAAGAAAATCTTCTCATATAAAAAGAAAAACGTTGCAACACTAAACACTTCAAAAATAAATCAGATCTCAACTTGCATTGCTTGCCAAGTGCTGGGTGGTGGTGGTGGGGGCAGAAAGAAGCACACAGCTTTTCTGTGCCTTTGTCATGAAAATAAGCCATGCAGTCTTTATTTCAGTCAAAACTACAGCACTAGGGGAATGGAAGTGAAAATTAGTTTGCATAGTCTTCATAGAGGTAAGCCATAACCTGTAAAGCATGAACACAATAATTCTGAAGCCTTACCCCACTTTTTACAGTGGCACATCTGGAATCAACAGATCTACAATGTAAAGTATGTGTAAGATTTTACCTCAAACCAATGTATATGTCCTAAAACAATGATATAGCATTAAACTTACCATTCAGAACTACAACAGCTGCCTTCACATGACAAACAAACAAAAAAAAAAAAAAAAAAAAAAAAAAAAAAAAAAAAAAAAAAAAAAAAAAAAAAAAAAAAAAAAAAAAAAAAAAAATTGCTAGGGGGTAGAATAATAGGGTATGCTTTCCTGAGCTTCTACCTTCCACTGAAAAGCCCAAAATTAAAAGAGATGGCCTCTGTTCCTTCTATATGCAATCAAGGCACCAGCAATTCCATTAGAGGTTACACCCTTTCCACGAAGTGTTTCATTGGAGCTGCTGTGTGGTCTATCTTGGTATATAACAGGCCACATAGAAGAATGCACTAACGCCAGTATGTTCCTACTCCTACTATATGAATATACATGTAAATAGCCCACTCAAAATGGGATTTGGGATTTTTTCTTCAGATCAGCATTTAAAATGATTGACTCGTCAGCTACTGTGCCACCTCCTTATTTTTCTTGAAAAGTAGTGTTTTTGACAGTAGCTAATATATATGAATCAGAACAGTGATACTATTCATTTTTGGTAAACAGAATATTCCTGAAAACTGTTTTAACTACTCTGTATTCCCTCTTCGGAGAGTGGGAATAACACCTACATAGACTGAGCAACACAAGGTGTGATCAGCTACATAGAAACAGTGTGGTTTGGTACTACAGTAGGTATCAGATCTTTGTTACTGTTCTAGAATCCAGACATTCTGTGAAAGGGCTTTAGGAAGAAATGTTACCCTGCTTAGTAGCAGCAAGAGGTGAAAAAATACAAAGTATTAGAGAATCTTGTTAGCTTAAGCAGCTGTCCACAAGTACTGTGATTAATACTCTGTTGGCCTGCTACTGAGAAGTAATACCAGGATTTGGGTATCCTGCAGTTAAGAAAAAAGACCAAAGCAACTTGCCCTTTGTAGTTCTGAAGCTGTATCATTTTTCTCCAACACAGACAGTTAAGGAGGTCTAAAGATAGGAATATTAGCGGCCCTGTGCTGCGTTTAACAATGTAAGTCTATGTTAGTGCTTTTTTCATATCTTGTATTAAAGCCATTCAAATAACATAAACACAGGGTGTGGTTATTGGAGAGGAAGGGTATCAATAAGGATTCTAGGAGGATTTCTGTGGTGATTTTTCATGCTGATATGACTGTTGCTTGTTTGTAGAGGTTTTGCTTTTGTTGTTTGTATACCTTTTGGCTGTCTAAACTCTAGCGAATAAAGTGGGGGCAAAAAGATTAAGGAGTTCTGAAGGCACTGTATGTAGCTGTCTGATGGTTCATTGGCTCATCCTTTGTGAGAAGGTGGATTTCCTTATAGGTGTTGCTGGTAATTAAAAATCCAGATGATGGACAAATGGATTAAGTGGATCAATTTCACAATTTCAGTAAATTTATATGATACTAGGTACATGTATTGGTGGATTCTCCTATTGCAAAGGACCTTATTTGGCTACTAGTACTATGATACATTATGCTGAATGCATTCTAATTCTCTGTGCTTTCTCTCTCTCTCTTTTTTTTTTTTTTTTTTTTTTTTTTGTACAGCTATTCAGGAAATTTAAGAAAATTCTATTTCTAAGATTTCTAAGTAGTCACTGATTGGCATGCCTCTGTCATAAAATTGATTTGGCTAAGGTGTGTCTAATTATGAATCTTTATAAATTATTGCTATTTTCTAATTAGTACAGTGACTAGTTTAACTGCTGATTTTCCAAAATGTTTTAATCTCATATGTTTTTAGCCAGATACTCATTTTTTCACCTAATTTGAAAGCATAAAATTAAGACTTTTCTTATTTTCTGGAATGTGTGGGCTTTCTGTTACCTTAGAAAAACATTAAAATAGATGAGATGACTCTGTAAAGAATGGGATTGAAATATTTGAAATTAATAGACATTGGTCCTCAAGATATCCAATATACCAATAAATGTTTACTCTGCTGAGATATCGATATTATTCCCGTGAGATATGCCGAGTAGAATTCATATTTAAGCTGCTTCCCATATCATAAACCTTTTGATTCCTGGGGACAATTTCATTTCTTAATGATGAAAATCTGTGGAAGGAGGAAACATAGAAGATAAACTGTCATCAATGTTTTATAATGACATTTTGGTGGCCCATTTTCTGTTGATAAAATGCAAATCTTGTGAATTTTTTTTTCTCTCAGGAACTATTCTATGAAGCAATAGTTCACAAGATTATTTAAAAATGTACCGATCAGAGATGTTATTTGATTACAGTCTAATCTCTTACTCATTTAAACTGGAAGTAGATATTTCTATCAACAGATTGTAGGCAAGTCTTGTTATATATTGATATATTGTTAATATTTTCACATTGAATTTATTATAAAATAAAATTATTGACTTTATTATAAAAGTTCTATTAGGTCAGTATGGCTATTTAGTGAACACCTCTTCTGTGTGGTGGAATTAGTGGACCATTTAACCCATCTTTCAGAAATACTCCTAAGTACATGCAAATAGAAATAAGGGTGTGTTGCAATTAATATTTTATTGAAGGTGGAAATATTTTAAACTATTTCTTACTATTGATTTGCACTTCTGCTCATAGTTTTCTTATTCCTTTTATAGTAGGCAAGGGTTGCAAGGAAATGCCAAAATCATACTTGAGTTGGTGTATTTTAAATGGCATAGTCAAAGTAGGTGATTCTTAAAAAAAAAATCAGAATAATACATGTTTCTGAAGGAAATGGATATATGTTTTTTTCATCTAATGATCCTATTACATTTCCTAAAAACAAAGATATCTGAGAAAATTGGGTTTTAGTTGGAAAAATAAAATGACATAGCTTATTAGTTGTCAATCTCAGAATTAAAGTTGCAATGAAAGGAGAAGGAATAGAGTATTTGCAAACTTTTGTCATAATTGGAAATAAAATTATAATGTATTTGAATGGAGTAAACAAAATCATCTTCAGAAATACTTGTCTCTATAAAATTATCTCTTTATTGTGGGTTTTGTTTTGTTGCAAAATGTCTGTCCTTTGGTCAGATTGAGGAAGAATAATTATTCTAAAGTCCTATTTCTTTTTGTTTAGCTAATATTTATACAGCAGTACTATGTTGTATAACTATTTGTTTAGCTAGAATTTATACAACAGTACTATTATTAATATTTTATATTTTTAATAAACACATGTTCTATTTCTACTACATTTTTTAATAAAATTTGCATGGATTCATAAAGCCATTATTCTTCAGGTGAAGACAGATTCTTTTAAATGATAAAAACCCCAGGTATAGCCTGTAAAAGTATAAGTAAGAAAAATTAACTCATTTTTTTAATATTTGAAGTTATACTTTAGAAAAATTGCTTTTGTTCTGATATGCATGTTTAATGCCTAGAGCAACCAGTGGTCACTAGGTAAGTTTATAGAAATTTAACAGTATTCCACACCCTTCACTTCTCCCTGTCTCTTAGCCTGCTTTAAGTAGACCTGTCTTCCGTGTTGAATATTTATAAAAGTACCAGTGATTGGGGGTGACATTTACTGAGGGTGGCATTTACTGAGGCAGGCCAAAGGCCATCTTTGAGCTGTATAAATGCAGATCTCCATCTCTAAGGGAAGAGTGGGATTTCACTGGAGTCCCCTCTGGTGTTTTTTTCTGTAACTAGGAGTGTAATATGTGGAATCGCATCACTACTCCAAACCAA